ATGATTCTATATAAACCCAACATATAAATGAACTGCTTTCTGTGCAAGTTCCCTAACATGAGCTACAAACCCACTTATCCAATACTACCCGTAGGTGCCTACTCTGCTCATCTACTTTTTCCTTTGGATGGCCCATTTAAGTAATCCATCTCAGCACGTAGTTCCAAGTCAAGAGAACCTTGTATCAGACCTGCAACTTCAGCTCCTGGGAGTTCTTTTTAGTCAGATCAAGAGACTGCAGCTCTTTCCTTAAGTAGGACTCCAGTTGCTCCAAGTATCGTGGCTTTGGAATGGTGAGAAGGGCCTGTTTATTGCTGCAGAGACACAGGAAAAGAATGGACCCATGGACTTATGTGTGTCATGTATAAGAATGAACTCATAATAAATCAGCTCAAGGATCTTGGTCTTCTTCCTACTGCCCATTGCTTCACAGCAGGACTTTATTATTTTCCCTTACATGAGAGAATATATATGTACTACAGTTAAAAAAAAAAAAGAAAAGCATTCAATGGCCAATTTAAAATTCCTTGATGGAGCAGGTCCCTATTCAAGACATCCTGCTATTATTGCTCTTCAGTTTAAGAACTTCATAATGCTTTTTGGTATAAAAAGCCAGGTGAGTGGGTTCTCTGTTGCAGAAAAGAATAAATGCTAATTACGTTATTTGAAATGTGTCAAGGAAAACAGCCATTTGAAAAGAGAATTGATACTACATACATACTACATCTCCTGAGGTTCTAGGTTCCTCAGGAGGTTCTAGGCTAAATGTCCCTTTGCTGGATGTTATCATGCATATTTCATATTAAAACCAGCTAGAATTAAAACAAAAAAGCACAACTATCCTTATTTTATCATCCACAACTGCGTCCTGCAGTCTGTCAGGGCCCTGAGTGAACCAACAGGCTCTGCGACCTCTTCCCCCGTCCCTGGGGGTTTAGGTGCCTGTGCTCAAGGGGTGCTGGGACCCCACAGGGTGACAGCAAAGCAACCAGGGACAGTGACCTGCCCAGCAGGGCGCAATGCCACAGGACTTGAACAAGAATAGCAGAACAGGTCCCTTGATGGTAGCCAGGATCATTCATCATTCGGTGACGGTCAGGCAAATCCGCAGTGATGAGGAAGGTCCGATGCCAAGCTGGGATGTCAAGTCAGCAGGCCAGGGTCGGTGAGGTACAAGATGGACATGGCTACACCATAGCTCCAGCAAGAACCAAAGGTGAGGAGCCTGACTAAAGGCTTCTCACATCTCTTTCTCACTCAGCTCTTTTTACAGCGCCTGGTCCCAGGTTACCCAGCTGTGCCGTATCAGAACCGATCTTGAGCCCAGGCACCCAAATGCCTAGGACTGGAGAGCTGGCAGAGCCTGTTGATGCAGCTGGGGCCCTGACAGGATCCTGTATACTGCCAGTCAATGAATCATTAAATGATAGCATTGTACGGTAATGTTTATACTAAGCATGACTCGCTATTACATAAATACTTGACATCTCCTAGAGAGCTACTAGTCAGAACCAGCAATGTCTCCTCTGTTGTGCTGAACTCTCGTGGGGTAACCCAACATCACTGTTCTCACTAACACAGAGAGGTTCTGCTCTGTGAGGCCTTGTTTTTCAAAAACTCTTTCCAGCAATCCTGGTGACTTAACCAGTAGTACGGGCTGAACTTACCTAGACTGCCTCTCCTCCGGGGCGCAGCAGGGTTTGTGATTCCTTAGGACGGTCTGCCCGGATGCAAATGCAGGCCACGTGGACCAACGGCCTCTAGCAGAAAGCTGAAAAGATTGAAAGGAAAAAATCCCTTTGCTGTACCTGAGCACTACAAACTCACAACAAAGAGCCAAAATCCAGAATCAATACAACTGCCTACGAGTGCAGTCAAACAGAAAGCCAAGGGCCGTACCCTGAAACTCTTCTCAGCCAGGACTGACCACACCTAAAAACCAAGCAAACTTTTTTGTTCTTTGAAGAAATCATCTTCCCAGACTAGTACCATTTGTTAAACACCTCTGAACAATCTCCTGGTAGCTATTGTTCATGCTGCCTAGGTTACATGATTGTGGGAAACAGTTCATATTTCTGGGTGAAAAATGGTTTCTTGGTTTACACTGGGACCGCCGGAAAATAAAGCGTCACACAAACAAATCAGAATCTTGCATTAATCCAGATAAAACCCAAAATGTCAGGTTTGACTGAGGTCCCGTTTCCACTAGGGAGTTTTGCGCTGGGGTGTGCCCTAGTAAGGGCACACTGAGCTGGGTTAACTCATACAGATTATGAGTTTTAAATGCAGGTTGGTGACCCTGTTTGACGCAAAACAGCTGAATTTGCGCCAGTGTAGAACGTAATGAAGATAAGGTCTGAGGGACAGTAAAAAGAACACGATGAATGAAATGTCCTTCAGAAACTGTAAGTTCTTCTGAAAGCAAAATCTTGTTAATTTTAAGAAGCTGTTAAATTCTATCTTGGAACTTTCTCAGTATTTCTTTGGGAGGAGAAAAAGCCAGCTATGCTGGATTGCTCTACTTTATCTTCGTTGTTACAACAAACTAGTTAGTTTGCAATCGTCCAATACAAATGCATCCCTATTCTGGCTGCAAAATTTATAAAAAATTAATCATGGGCAAACAGGGGGGTTTGACTTTCAGACCCCAAACTTCAGACTGACCAAGCCTTGAAACAGTTAAATGTAAAGCCTCGGAAGTTTAAATGCCCTAATTTCAGTGCAAGAAGCAGGAAGATTACATTGGAGAAGCAGTAAGATTCCAATTTATTGGGTTGAAAATCTTTTGTACAATGAGGAAAGTGCTTGCAGAATGTCCCAGCTCTAGGGACAAAATAACGCTTTAAGTTCTTGTGCTAATGTAGCACATACGGCTTGTCACAGAAGTGGCACATTTCTGAAATACAACCAAAATGCTAATGAAAAAAAACCCTAAAAATAAATAACGCGTGACTCTTACAGACCTTAACCTCCCATTAGTTTGTTGGTATACATGTTCCTGGAATTGATTTTCTCATAATTTGGATGTAGATTTTTCCCATGTTCATTTATTTTATTTATTAAGACTGATAAATACTAGGGAGCAGACGTTCCTGTAGGATGCTCTTATCCTATGATTAAACAGCATGCGGTCGTGTGGTTTCTTTTTTTTTAAAACTATATGGGTCAAATTCTGGCGTCGGTACTTGGCATGTATGTCCACTCAAAAGGTTGCAGCCAAGAACAACATTTAGATTCCTCTCCTCTTCCCTCCACCCTTAAAAATGCAGTAATTAATTCACAAAGATGACATCTGAATCTGAGTTAGCAGCAAATACAGATTTTGTCTATATATATTAAAGAAAGATTAAAACGATTAGAACTTGATGGGCTTCCTAATAGTTTGGGAAGGTCCCTGGGCTTCCAGCAAGATTCAAAGTTGACCAAGTTAGCTGAAGTTTGGAAGTTTCACTGGAATTCTTCCACTCACCCGAGTCTTCTGTTTCTTGGACAGGGTGTATTTCAGACTGTCGATACGTGTTTGGCAATCTGGAGTCTCGGAGGAAGATTCAGGAGCGGTCCTGTGCAATGGCGAGAAAGAAACGTTTCAAAATACACAGAATTAACTAAATACACAGTTGGAGCTTGAGAGTCTAGCTCATGTATACCTAAGGTAAACAGCCAGTTATGAAGTGCCTGATGGATGAAAATATCCCAGTGTACAGGGAGGGACTGATGGAAACATTTGTGGTGCAGCTGAGCTCCAGGATTTGCTATTTGATAACTGACACAACGTTTGGTACCTTCCTCGCTGTCGCAGTGACAGCGACCAGGCTGAACCCTGCAGCTGGGCGAGCCTGAGCGAATTGGTTTTCTGAAGAGGAGAGATCAGAAACAGAGCTAGAAAACCTGTTACCCGTGGGTCAAGAACCGGGATTTGGGGTCCCAGAAGTGCCTGCAAAGCCAGTTCTCTGGCCTGACAGCCAGTAGAACCGGCAAACCATGGAACAAATATAACCAGGCACTCTCTTTCCTAGACTAGAAACTGGCATGTGTAGGCGAAAGGCCTTTTAAGAAGTAAACATACAGTTGCACGTGTATTTTAGGGAAAATTAGGGTGGCCGTGATATAGTAAAGCAATCCGGAGATCACAGTGAATTTGCAGGCGCTGCACTGGCACAACACGACCGCACACTCGGCTTGATATCTGAGCATTGGCGTCAGCTGCCAGCACGGTTTCACGCTCGGGTGGCAGGTAGCTGTTATACCTTCAGCAGATCTAACCCTCCAACCATCCGCTTCCCGGGGGAGGTGTGCGTAGGGTGAGCTGGACTGGCTTTCAGGAGTCCACCAAAGGCCAGCACAGCGTTGGGGTGGGAGATCGTATCTGGTGGGCTGTTGGATCTCCCACCCTAGCGTATAAAACGGCAGCTTCAAGCTGCAGCTCTGTAAAATGTGGTAACAGCTCAGCCCTGCTGAAAGGGGAGGGCCGGTTTCCCTCCCCACCACAACAGGCTCCTGCTGTTTAGGTAGCGCTAGCTCTACTGTACGCTGGGCAACTCTCTGAGCTGTTTTAGTTCGCTAATCCAAGGGAAAACCTGCAGTTACCCGGTTTAAACCGACTAAAAACATAACATGCAAGTTCACCCCTCAGTGGGGGAGGGATTCTGCAGCCGGCGGTGAGGATGGAGACGGAGACCCCAAGCAGTTGGGTCAGCTAGCCCAAGGAACCACACCTTTGGGTGAGATTCCCTGAGACACTGTGAGCTGATCTAGCAGCTTACTGCTCTTGAAAAGCCCTACCATCTCCTCCTCCTAGCTGTATCCCCCCGCCGTTTACCTTGCGCTGCTGCCACTGCTCATCAGACCTCTTTATAAGCTGCTTTAAGGCATCGCCTCAGCAGAAAACTAACCCAGCATCATCTTTGAATTTTGCTTAGTGACCACGCACAGAAGACGCTTCGCTCTTGCGAGAAGATTGTACCCAGCACAACATGCTTTCATGGCGCAGTCCCACCGGCATGAGGAAGCCATGGAAGCTTGTGCTGTGTGCCTGGCTACAGGGAGGCGTGGAAAGGCAGCGGCAGCTGGGAGCCAGGACTGAGAAGATCAAACTCCGCTGGCCAGGAGCAAGGAGCAGGATGAGTAGGAAGTGGCCTATGGACAGAATTGCAGAGTGTTCTGAAAGTCTCCAGTCCGTAACAGACCATTAAACATATAGTAACTCATGGTTTAGAATCTGAAGGGCACTTTTCATGCATTGAAACAAAATAAGGTTCCTAGCTATCCAGAAATGCATCTTCTTCTCATCTGCAGCTAAACTTGCTACCAGTTTGATACTCAAAGTACCGAGCACTCTTTGCTCCCGTGTGCTTTCATAAAAGCTGAGTGCACTTACCACCCAGGACCGTATGTCTGGTTTTTTTCTTGCAGGATGGGATTCTAAGATAACGGCAATCTTTACAATCTTAACGGCAATCAGTCAGCACACTACCAGCCAGGACAGCTTTTAACTCACCTGACAAAAGCAGGGTCTCCGACTACAAGACGGCCCGTGTTTGGAAATTAAAAGGTGCCTGTTCCCAGGCAACCACATTAAGTGGGGGGGAAAAAAAAAAAAAGTACCTACGACTTTTCCCATGAGTGAAAATGATTGTGGGATTATTACTTGGACGGTGGTACAGACAGCCTGGATTTGGTACTGATGGCTTTTTCAGCATTGTGAAAGCTAGCAAAATCGAAGCAAGAAAAACTTGCTCGTTTGATGAAAGGTACTTCCCAGGAGTGCAAAACGTGCAGCTTCAATATAATCAAAGTTGCTTTTACTGTATGTAAATTTTCTTGAATGGATGTAGACGTGGCTGTCCATATCGGAGCTCTCCAGCAGAAAAGGCAGCGATAGCATGCTTTTAGACTACCTGCATCACACAAGCCTGAGATCTGAAGATAAAAACCTATCTGTGGGTGTAAATTAGGCCTCCACTGTGCCAGAGGGAGGCTCAAGACATTCACAGAAAAGTAGGCTTGGTCACGAACACACCAGAATTTTCCTTTTGGGGCAGCCTGGGCAGTTGTCAGAGCCTCCAACGGGCCTTATTTACCCCGGCCAGCCTCAGCTGAGACCCTCACCCACGCACCCTCTTGCCAGTTGGTCCAGGAGCTCCATTTAAGCTCAGGCCTGACCCTCCGCACCCTGCCTGAGCTACTGTGTAGCTGTAACTGTCTTCAGCCCCGTCTCCTGGCTGCGCCTTGGACCTACGCTGTAGCCTTGCCTCCAGTCCTGTCCCTGAGCTGCTCGCCCTGGACCCGATTCATCGCTTGGCCTCGTCCAGGACCAGAGGTAAGTGCTGTTGGGGAGGGCCTTGCCTGCGCTGCAGTCGCCTTTGCCTCGCTCTCCCGTGGGGAGCAGCCCTGCGCTCTCAGAAGGCAGGCAAAGGCTGGCCGGCAGAACAAAGACCCGTGTGCTAGAAGACGCCATCCCCTTCCAGGAAAGGAAAAGAAAGGAGACCTCTCTGCTTTTATAACTGTTCTGAAGTATTCAGACTGACTGGAACGAGGTGTCGATGGTAGAGGCAGATGCTTAGATAAAGGAATGGTATGGAAAACAACTAGTAGGGAGAGACACCGCTTTCCAAACTGTGAACTAACTGCAGCTAGCTACAAACAGTAACAACGGCAAAGTGAATTCCACAGGAATCGCTCAACAAGTTCCTCGCTCCGCTGTGAGTGAGCGTGGCCCTCGCTACAGAAGTGTTGTCTCCTGAAGTCCCAAGGGCGGTACCTGAAGGCCTTCCCCGCTGTTTATTTACACTTCCAGACAGGCTGCTGTGGCGAACCGCGTCCTGCCGCCCCCGGTCTGCTCCGAGGCCGGCCCTCGGCGGGCGGGGCGGAGTGACAGC